CTTCCATCCAGCCAGTTTTTCTATCCAATAAGCCAACCTATCCCCCACAACTACAGAGATAACTTTTTAACAAGCATTTTATGTGACACCTTGTCAAATGCTTTCTGAAAATTCAGGCCCACCAAATCCACAAGTGTACCCTCACCTACATAAGCAGTAATCTCTTCAAAGATTGGTTAGGCAAGATTTTCCCCTAATGATACCATGCTGACTATCCAAAGTATCTTTTATCAGAATTCCAAAAAATGTTCCCACCATTGATGCAAGACTAATAGATCTATAATTAGTACACATTTTATCACCTCCCTTGAAAAAGAGGAGTTACGTTAGCTAACTTGCAATCCTCTGGTACCTGCCCACTATTGAAGGATTTAGAAAAAATAGTAGCAAGTGGCTCACATATACAATCCTTAACCTTTTTCAAAACACTTGGGTAAATATCATCTGGCCCAGGATCTTTATCATTCTTTAACCCACTGACTGAAGCTGCTCCAAACACGCATGGGATTTTTACAAGTCGTATACATCACACTCACACTCAACTGCTGGAGGCGAACCATACCCTATAAGGTGAATCAACAGTCAATAGGTTAAACTTCTTTTTTTTTTTTTTAACTAAGATCAAATTTATGGGATCATTTTGTTCAATCTCGTTTTCATCTAGAAATTGTTGAAGGTGAGGAATATCGCATAAATCTTCATTAATAGAAACTGAAGAAAAAGTAGAATTTAATAACCCAATCATCCCATAATCATTAGATATATGATTTCCTGTATCATCCCTCAAAGGCCCAATTCACATTCTAACATTTTGCTTAACCTTAATGTATTTGAAAAAAAACCCTTACTATTTATCTTTACATTTTCAGCCAACCTTTTATTTTCATATAGTTTTGTTTTTGATTTCCTAATTTCTAATTTAATCAACTCTTTTGATCATTTATAATCCTCCAAATCTCCCACGATTACACTCAGTTTAAACTTCTTATATCTATAATCTTTCCTTTAATTTTATCCATTATACTCTTTGTGAACCAACCTGTTATTTTATTTTTTTTACTTACAGCCACCATTTTTTTTTGTCTATAAGGAACGTGCCTATCATGAATATTCAAGAATTTACTTTTAACATTTTCTACATTTGATTGGTATATCTCCAACTAATTCAATTGCCCAGTTTGCAGCACATAATTATTGCCTCATCTCTTTCAAAATTTTCTTTTATTAAATTTGGAACCAAAATGTCACTATTCCTTATCTCCACATGAAGCAAAACATCAAATTTAATTGAATTGAACAATGATCATCTGCACCAATATGTTCCCCAATCTCTACCCTATCACTGATTTCTTTATTAAAAGTTAACAATAAATATAAAATAGCATTATTCCTACTAGGTTCCCTAACCAATTCTTGAAGAAAACCACCTTGAATAGTTTCTAAAAAACCTTGTCTCCATCATGTCTTGACTCTTAACATTTCCCAATCTATATGTCTAAAGTTAAAATTGCCCATAATTATAATCTCATTAACAGCTGAATTCTTTATTTCACTGTAGAGTTTCTCATTGATTTTGTTAGTTTCATCTTGTGCTATGTAACAAATTCCAACTAAAAACCTTCTCCCCTTACAACCTATAACAAAAACCCAAATAGATTCAACCTCATTGCTATTAGCTTTAATGTCATCAAGTTGAACAGGCTGTAACTCATATTTTACACATTAGCCACTCTTCCCCCTTGTTTTAGTACTCTATCCATATTAAACAACCTATAACCCTGTATTTCAAAGAAATCACTTTCATCATAAACATTTACATTTAGTTATTCCCATTATATCAAAACCTTCTGTTCCAATCAGTTCTCTAAATTTATCAATTTTATAATTTTTATACTTTTAGTATTATAATAACAGTCTAGCCTATCATAACACTACCTATATATTTTCATCCCACACTATACCCCCCTCTTTACATCATATTTTTTTTCATTATTCTAGCCATCTTCACTGTCAAATCCTAGTTTAAAGTTGCCCTTACTGTTCGGTTTATATCCCTTCCAAACAAGCCAGCCCTTACCCTATTTAAATGTAAAAAACCATCCATTCCAAAAATCTTCCATTAATCCACCAGCCAACCGTTTTTCCTCATATATCGACCTAAGCCAGAGTGATCTATTTACAATTGCATCCCTACAGTTAAATATTGGCAGTATCCCTGACAGGATTCAGTTGTTATAGCCTGTTTCTTTGAATTCCTTGTACTTAACAATTAGCTCCTCCGACCTAACCTTCCAAACATCATTAATTCCTATGTGCATGATTGCATACTGCTAGCACCCCTTTACTATATCACTTATTCTGTCAGTTATATCCTCCACCCCTGCCTCTGGGTAGCATAATATCTTTTTCTTCCTATTTACTCCACAGACTATCATATCTACATGCTGTACTAAAGCATCTCCTATAATACAAAAATATGATACCCTATAACTTGAGCACTTTCAAAAGTTGGACCTTTCTTTTTCAGTCCACCTTTCGAAAGTGCTCAGGTTATAGGGTATTGTATTGTTGTGTTAAAGTGATTTCTTGAACCCATGTGTTTTCCTAATGTAATGAATGTATCTCCTATAACAATAACATTCATATATTGTTCATTCCCATCCCTATCTGTTTTTATCCTTCATTCCTCAAATTCATCATCTACACAAGCCAAAAGGCTGAAATCTGTTCTTTACCTCTGCTCTTTATAACCAAATTTATAATCACTAACCCTATTGTTACTGCTTCCAACCTACCAAAAGTCATCACTAGCCTCTGTATCCCTCGCATGTAAAACCTCAGTTTCCTCTCTAAGTCCTGTTGTCACCTTCTGTAATTTAGCTTTCTCCTTTTCCTTTACCCCTACACTGTTTAAAACTGCCGATGCGAGAAATAATTACTGTTACAGTTGAAATGCCTGCAGGTTTAGTGTCTGTGAAGTCGGTGTGGAACTGGCTTTACATCAAACAAGTGGTTTTATTACAAAACACGTACACAGTTTTTTAAAATGGCGAAAAAAAACCCCAACCAGAATCATTTTTATTAAATAAGTAAGCAAAATAAATTATGTTCATTTTTAACAAGATTTTAAAGTTCTGAAAAATAGTCTTTACATACAAGTTTTACTTAATTTGGAAATATCAAAAAAAAGAAAAACTCAACAAATGCTTAAAAATACATTTATTGTTAATTACATTCTTAAACACAAAAATAACTGCTAAAGTAGATTCGTCAAAGTTAATAACAATTAAAATGACTTAGAACCAGCACGTTTAAGTTAAAAGTACACTACAAACCATATGAAATACACATTAATCGTTAAAACTATGGCACATATAAAATGTCTAATACAAAGTACATTTTGGATGTGAATGTACATGTTACATATACATATATATTTTTGTTAATTTTAAATTGAATTATATTTTTCAAGTATATGTATTTGACCTTTTAAGTAAGCTGTGAAACACAACAAGTAAAATGCTTCAGAATGTATATTTAGTTAAAACTTGTGAAAAAGAAATCTTAGAATACATGTAAAAACCCTATCTTGGAGTATTAATAAGTAAGAGGAACCATCTGTTCTTATTTTTATCACTGTTAATTTAACACACATACATATATATTTACATACACATACCATTCACATGTTCTACATTCAGGTATCTGCATCCAAAGTCACATGTAAAAAAAAAGCATTCATTTTCTAAATAAATGATAAGTCAGACAAGGGGTAAAAAAAAACCATCACAAAAAAAGTCTCAATCATTTTTTTGCTGAAGCTTCCCAGTTTTTCTTTCATAAATTTCGCAACAACAACCCCCACCCTTTTTTTAAAGTCATTTCCTAATTGTTTCCAGCTTCACTATTTTTCTTTTTGAATAACAAATTAAGGTTTTTAAATATAACCTTTTTATTATGATTACATTTTGTTTTGTTCTCTTTAATAAACCTAGATAAAAATTCTCAGTTCCTAACTTAGACATTAATATAAAATCACATAGTGATTATAAACGACAATGTGTTTGTGATTTGTTTTTTTTACTGATCATACAGACATAAAAAAAAAGTTAACTCATTTTCAAGTCTCTCATTTCAAGAACAACATAAAATGTGATTTGTTTGACAACTACTATCAAATTAAGCACCAATATTCATCTGCTATGATGTTGTCCGTAAGCCTAATCCGTAAGCCTAATTTAGTATTGTTGTCCGTAAGCCTAATTTAGTATTGGCTTACCTTCATGGCCGAGCTAAGTTCAGTCCACTGGAGGCCTAAAAATGAACTTGCTGGTACTTTAAAAAATGTAGATGCATGCATACGTATATGCAAGTTTCACATAAAAACATGATTTACTCTTTACGAATAACACCAATTTTCAGACTTTACGTGATATTTAATGTCTATACTGATAAGCACCACTGACTGCTATAGTTCAGTATGTCCATTCTACATTGCCACTGATGACATTTTTGCATCTATTAGTTAAATTAATGATATGAAAAAAATAAATAATAAATTATACATAAACAATATGTTAACAAGTCTACTTAATATGAAAAATAAAAAACAAATTAACGTAAGAGTAACTACAGTACAAAATGATGTGCATAGTTTATGGAGGTATTGCTAAAATATACATACAACAAGACTAACAGTATGCCCACAGAAGACTAATTCAAACAGACAACAAATATAAAGTAAAATAAAGAAGTTGTTGACTTTAGTTGTTTTGTTTTTTTTGCCTTTTTTCAAATTTAGTAATTCTTTACTTGAAATAGTTTTATATCTGCTTAATTTTATGTGTTGTTTATTTTATGTTGAACGTTTTTCTTTTTCTTATATCACCTCGGGAAAAATTCAAAAGTGGTTAGCTCTGCCTTAATTGTAGTTTGATGAAATATTTCTTCGTTCTACTTTCTACACACATTTAATTAAAACTAACTCAAAGCATGGAAAATGTTTTTTTTTTTGAAGTAAAAACAAAAGTATATTTGTAATAACAGAAAAAAAAAAAGTGGTTTCAGTTTGGTTCATCACCCTACAGTGTGATCAATACTAAAAGATATAAAACATTGTTAAACATTGAGCCTGGAACCCAAGGTTGGAGAACTAACACTTTTTGTAACTTCAGAAACTTAATCTTTTGGTGTATTTTTTTTTAGGGATGTGGATAAACTAGACTATCCATTTGACATTCTTTTCAGTGATAAAAATGTTCATTATCTGATTATTTTTGAAGTTAGCTTCTAGTAGTTATTTTGTTAAATTCTAGTACTTTAAAACATTTATCAGAATCAGTAAGTAGCATTTAAAGTCATAAGGAATATTTATGCAATTTCTAAAACATATTACTATTCACATTCAAAACACGTGATTATAATGTTGGTTTGAGCTCATTAACCAGAATACTTCCGAGCTTTTTATCTTGATTCCTCTACCTGCAGCAGGTGTCAAATCACCTTTAAATATATCTTTCTACCCCTGGACTGAGAAACATCAACGATTCAGTAGCATACTCTGATCAACTTCGTAGTTAACGAATCGTCCACGCTACGTGCTGATAACGTTGAATGAGTATTAATGAATATGTATGTAGTAACTGAAAGTAGAGTATGTAAAAGATTTTTGTAAACAAAGAATTTTCAACATAATAACAATGGTAGAGGTTTGTTTAAAGTTAAGCACAAAGTTACAAAATGGGCTATTTGTGCTCTGCCCACCACGACTATTGAAACCCAGTTTCTAGCATTGTAAGTTTGCGGACATACTGCTGTGCCACTAGAGGGGCAATTGTAAAAGTAAATGATGAAGTTTATAAAATCAAATATTAACGATTACTTGGCATGTAAACTTCTGTTACACAGAATCTTATAATACCAGATAAAAAGGTTAACGAGTGTGTATGCTACAATATATCGAGTAACTGCCAGCACTAAAACGAGATCAATTTTGATACGTTATATTAAATGTCGAGGCACTGAACAAAACACGTGAAACACATTTCACATTTTAGCCCTACAACAATCCTTGTACAATTAGCTTCTTTGAAGGCTAAAGACACCAACATCTAACAGAGTACAGAATACAAATTAATAAAATCTGGATTTGGTATGATAACTTTGATTCTGTCGTTAAACCAAGACTACCTTACACGTGCTTGTTAAAATTTTCTATCTGTCTAAAAGCGACAAACATAGGAACTACCTACACGATTTGCATAATAAAATATGTATATATGAACAAGTTGTTTGTGTAAATATAGTTTGTGCAAAGTAAAAGGTAAATCTGTTTTTTAAAAAATATGTGCCGTAGAATCACCACATATGTACACAAACAACAAATGTATACTAAATAATAACCCAGGGAGTTGGTTCGGCCGAGTCTCGTGGATCAGATCCACACCACATTGTGCCGTGAAACAAAGTAAGAAAGATTAAATACCACATTACTGCGTCACATGCTTTGGTTTGTCCCTAAGAAGTTCAAAAGAGGTAGATTTATTTTTTTTTCTAATGCAAAACTTTGGTTCTGATTTTTTTTATTTGAAATAGCTTTTTAAATTACCTTTTACTTTTCTATAAAGTGCTAAATGATAATACATCGTCCAAACAGTAACGTTTGCAGTATTTTCAGCTCATGTATTTAGTATGTATAAAACCAGAAAGCTCATAGTCACAACCAATGTTACCGAGCAACAGGCATTAATTACGTTCAAAATACTTTAACACCGATTTGTCATAATCTAATTTATAGTTTCAATAAAGAAAATTTGTTGCCTGTAAGGAAATGCTTCAGTAAAAGAGAAATGGAAGTGGATTTTTTGAATGGTTAGTTTGAAAAAGAAAATCTACCCTTGGCATTATCATACAAGTATCTAATATGGTGTGGAAACAGGCTTTGGCCTTCTGAATGAGAGATTTTTAAACTCCCAACTTCAGAACATTGACTGATATAGCTCTGACATTTCACACACCCTTTATGAGCAACTGGCCATTCACATTACCCACACATACAGTAATTGATGGTTAAGAACCATTTTATGTTCTCCCTGTTTTTTTTATATACTTGTTGGTGTGTTTATATTGCTGATGTACACACAACAACAACAACACTTGATTGTGAATTGTTGACACTTTACGCTTCATCTGGTATGACACCATTACCACTGATAAAAGGTGGAGGTGTTGGAGGTGCCACTGGACCAGGTGAGGGCTCTTTTGATGCTAATGGAGTTTCCATCTTCCTCTCTAATTCTCTAATACGACGTTCATGCTTGATTAACGTTCCTTTCATTTTCCTCATCTCCTCTAACAGTTCGTCCATTTTCTTATCCTTCAAGATAAAACACACAAGAACTCTCATTCCAACACTGATAAAAATAAAAATTGATCTTTCTAAAAATAATTACTACATAAAACATGCTATTTATTTACCTTACAAATATTTAAGTGCACTAAACTTTACACTGCTTAAGGAACTTTCTTATGTCTCTGCTATTAGTATTTTTTTTTTCCAATGTCATGCCACCTAAAATGTAATGTTATCATTTGTTTTTCTTTAATTGTTTGATTCTATTAAACTGTAATTAGAGCTCTATGATTATACAGGAACACTCAAGAAAGATTTTCTGTTTGTGTTATTCACAACATTCTGGATACAATACATCTTCATGAGCAGACTTGCAGAGAAAAAAATGAAACAATCACATTTTGATGTTTATGATTTAACTTTTAAAATTAACAAAATGTGAAATTAAGTACCCTCAATTTACCACAAAGACATAATCTTCGCAGCTTACAAGACTTCAACTGAAGTTCAGTTATACACCAATCTAATCGTATTTCGGTTTAGCTTGCTTAGAATTTCGTGCAAAGCTACATTAAGGCTTTCTGCATTAGCTGTTCCTAATTTAACAGTGATAGACTAGAGGGAAGGCAGCTAGTCAAAACCACTCATTGCCAATTCTTGGGCTACTCTTTTATCAATGAACAGTGGGATTGATTGTCACATTATAATGCCCCCATGGCTGAAAGGGCAAGTATGTTTGTTGTGGCAGGGATTTCAACCTGTGACTTGCAGATTGTGAGTCGAGTGGCCTAACCACCAGGCCATGTCGGGCCTATCATATTTTAAAACTTCTCATTTGGTTTTCCAAATTGTGCGTCGTACAGTGTTCACAAAACTACAAACACTTCAAAATTGGCTACTGGAAAATATGGCAACGATAACAATCTGACTCTTGCAAAAGTTTAACAGCATTCTTGTAACACTACTCTAGGATACATTGAAGGTTTAAAGACAAAACAGAAAAAAAAAGATATTAAACTACTACTAAGTTTTTCATGTAATTAGAAATAACAAAGTAAGTTTGTTTTATGACTTATCAGAAGCTTACCTGAAGAAGGGCTAAGTTTGCCTTAACTATACCATGAGAAAGCTTGAAAAAGATAGAAACTTTCAATATGTGTGTCAAAACAGATTAAATAACTTCAAAGATATATTATAAATTTTGCAAGAAGTGTGCTCTAGCTAATTTTTTAAAAACACATTCAGAATCTAAGTGTATTTTCTAAATCTCTATTTATTAGTTTCTTATATAAACTCTAAAAATACTTTCTATTGATCATAAATCCATGAAACTGTTACTTTTCAGTTGGAATTAACTTTAATGATCAAATTTTTGTACAACTTAAAATTACAATTAATTTGAAAGCTGCAGTAAATATTTAAAATAACACTTTCCCTGTGTATATGAGTGAGAAAAACAAAGGTAAGTATTCAGAATCAGTATCAGGACATTGATTTTCAATGTTGTTAAACCATATGTTTAACCCTTTCAGTAAAATAATCCTAAAACTAAAACTTTTGTTTCTAAATTATAATTTCCTTGCTTCAGATATATATATATTAATAATAGTTTAATAAGTTATCATTGACAGATGTGTTTGATATTTCAGAAATTACCACTTTTTTTGTTAATTATGTAGTACAAACATCATTATATTTTAAACCATAAGTGTTTTAGTTATTATTGTAAAACCTTACATTGGTAATTCTGAAACAGATACTATCAAAAGTTTTCCTTCAAAAAATTAAAAAAGAATAAAACATGTTAATGTGCCAATTCACACTCTTAAACCATATTCAATCTGAATAAATAGAGTTGCTTAAACATTTGTTTAACAAGTAAAAGTTTGGAACGATCTATTCTTTCATTGGGTGGTGTGTCTGTGAGCCAGACTAGTTTCGGAGAATTCCACTCCTCATCAGTGACCCTGGACACTACCACCAATGAAATATCAGACCAAACTAAGCCTTTATAGTAGTGAGATATCGAAAATCGAATTGATGTATTTAAGTACACCAGTTCAATACTCAATCTGTTTAAGGCCTAAAATAATATCAACAACTTACAGACGCAGCTGAAGCAGCTTGTGCTGATTGTTTGGGCATCTTATCTAAGATATTTGACTTCTTTGTTACTTTAAACTCCTGTTTTCTGCTGGGAACAAAACCTTCTTTGAGAGATACCTACATAAAAAAAAATATTTTTTTCAAAAGTCATTCCTAACCCGATGATGACCTAAGGATGATGAAACGTTATTTGTTTTGCATTTTGAATAAATAATTTTAATACCCATATCAGCTGTCTCTACTATATATATATTTACTTCAAGTGGGTTTCTCATCATCATAAAAACATTCTATCTTTTCATCAAATGTGTGAAACATACCTTAAACTGCATCCTACCACTACAAACATGAGTGAATATCTATAATCAATGCTGTTAAGTTTCAGATAAATGAAAAATGAAGCATTACTATCACTAGTTTATCATGATGATGAACTAATCGTTCATGCAATAGAAAAAATATGGACTGTGGGGTGACAGGCTTGGGCTAAGTATGTGTTTTGTTAATTTTTCAAAAGTAATTAATTATCAACTAATGGGGATTCTTTGTCGAAAGAGAAAAAAAATCCTGATGTGAAAGTACTACTGAAACACTCACAGAATAAGAAATACATAAATTCTTAAAACTCGTGTCTTTTAATTAAAGACTTAAATATTAAAATTCCTCTTAAAACAAGGATATATCATACATTTCCTTTTTCTTTACGGTAATTAAAAATTAACACTATTTTATCTTAGACATTGAACAAAAATACGTGGAGTAGAATTCAGAAGCTTTTATTATATCAGTGATAAATATCTTTATACTAAAAACAGCTTATATATTTCATTGAAAGTCTTTAATCTGAAATTCAAATCCCATTTCCCTAAAACTAATTTATTTACTTCCTTTCTCCGATTCTTTTTAATACCATTTTCATCGCACACGCACACAAGAAAAAAATAATAATTTTACACTTGTAAAAGCAAGATTACAAGTATCCTAAAGCTATTTTAAAAAACTTTTGAACATTAAACTTGCCATGTTTATTAACTAATATCCAAATTAAAAGGATGTACAGTAAGAAACATTTTGGCCACCTACCAAGATTGGTTCTGCTTCTTTACCATCGACCCATTCTTCAGCTGATATAGCTGGAACATCAGACATCGTATTGGGATAAAGATCATCCTGAAACTGGTCAGACTGAAAAAAAAACCCATCTATATCAACATGATTTTGCATAGTTCACCACTAAATTGTTTACTTTTTCATTTGGTTACACTATAAACATGTGTACATCACACAATTATACATAATATAAAAAGTTAAAAAAAAAGAAACAAACAAAAACCTCTCATTTAAAAATATATTTTTACATACCTTTCTAGGCACAGTAAATGACAAAATTTCACAGAAACCACTGGTATGTAATCGATAGAATCTGAAACAAACAGAAGAAAACTTGAAATAGATATTAAGTATTTGTAATTTTCATACATATGATAAAAAAAGCCAACTCTTAACAAATTGAATTTGTATTTTGTTATTTTTCTTAATGTATCTTTGCCACCAGTAGTATTAATAATTCCTACCTTAGAGTCAATCACACGTTTCTTTTCCGGTAGTATTAATAATTCCTACCTTAGTGTCAATCACACGTTTCTTTTCCGGTAGTATTAATAATTCCTACCTTAGTGTCAATCACACGTTTCTTTTCCAGTAGTATTAATAATTCCTACCTTAGTGTCAATCACACGTTTCTTTTTTTTTTACTTAACCCAGGCGTCTAATATCTATATAGGTAACTATACTATGTTTAATTAGTTTATTGAAGTCACTTGTAATATGTGACCCACCAGTGTGTCATGCTGTCCATAACTAAAAGTAAGTCGTGACCCACCAGTGGAGAACATGGCAGTGAATGCCTTAAACAATTACTCTTGTAAACAGTATTCTAGACTTCTATATGAATGATGCGATTCTTGACGTTATAACACAGATTTGTATTCATCTTTAAACACAAAAATATCATGTAATATACATTTTTATCAAGCAAATTTCAAAGCTCTTTAAACTGCACTTGATAATTTGGTTTTCTTAAATTCACAGACGATGATATACTACACTCTCAGTTTTAAAAATGCCTGGTAGTGCAGTGACTCAGATAATTTTGCATTTATCCTCTTTCAGGAAAATTGTATGTATATCAAACTACATATCCATGCAATTTCTCCTCAAAATAAACAAACAAAAGAAAAATGGCAGCAATTTTCTAGTTCAGAGTGATACTGGTAGAAAAAGTCTTGAAGGATTAATCTACTGAAGCTCAGGAAGAAAGGTCAACGTTTTGAAAGATTCCATCTTTTGTCTTCACCTGAAGATGAAAATCATTTATTTGTTCATAAATAAAACATTATTCATTTCTTAGAGGTGAATGGTTGATGTACAACAAACAGGATAGTTGCACCAGTGGGTATTCCTTCTTCCATGTTAACCCTCTCTGCACAGGCATACTTTACTGCTCATGTCACAAGATTTTTAGTGACTTACATTCAAAATTTAATTAAACTGCTTTTTGTTTATGTTATACCAATTAGTATAGCATAAAATTGTAGATAATAATCCCTATATTATTTTGTAGGCAAGTCTTAAGTTTTTCATTTTATAAGGCAATATTTAAAAAAATACTGAATTTACTCTTGTGTGAGAAATGTGACATTTTTTCTCTAGGCATCTCCTCTTCTCTAATTTATTCACCACCCCTCCAATAAGTATGAAATTTAATGTAAATTACTCACTATAAAATTGTCATCTCTCAGGCAAACCATAATTTTTATAGCCTTCAATCTTGTTTGGTTACAGAGCCATCAAATAGAAAATGAGACCCCTCTTGCCACACCTACCTGTAAGATCCTCTCTTTCAGGATTTGTTAATAGATCTCTCTTACATTTAATACAATATTATTTTTAACCAATAGAAAGCAAAGATTTCATATATCAAACAATGTATTATATTATGTTGTTTTCTGTACAGAAAAATGTTAACTTCTCTTTCAGTAGAATCTTCATTCCAACAGGAAACATATCGATTAGCTTGGATGAGTTTGTAACAGCTCTTGTTGCATAGTTAAAAAGCCAAAAAAACTGTGATAGTTATGAAACATTGTCTGCTTTTGCATGTTATTATTCAATGTTCTTCGGTGCATTATTTAATTAAACAAACATTATTTAGTGCATTACTACCATTAGTATAAAAAAAGGGTTAAATGTTGTCGGCAACAAATAAAAAAAAGAAAGCCCCATGTATGTACTTTATTTCTTGTTTTTCATGTGTATTATTTATTTATTATTATTAGATGTAAAAATAGGAAACTTTTTATGTTAGTTAGTTAGATTAGGTAAAATAAATAATAAAAATATAATAAAAAATTTTCACAAGTCATGCACATGAGCAGCTTGGAGTAGTTCATGGGTAATGTAATTTGATAACTTAACATGAGCCTCATGTTCTCCCCAAGGGATTTACAACTCATAATGGTGCAAACAGAAGTTAGACATGGTTCAAAGAGCAATAAAACAATAAAATTTAAGTATAAATAGATGTATACTGTTAAGAGCTTAAAGATATTTATGAAAAACAAATGTAGTTTCATGTTACAATTTGAAGACATTCCAGAAAGAAAAAAAGGGTAATTTAGATTTATTTTTTGTATGGGGTCAGTCAAATTGACCAACCTCGTATAGGGTTAGGGTAGAGAAAATAACAGATAAAATAAAAAGTTTTACTGAAAACAAATGTTTGAAATGTATTTAGGAGGTTTTTAGAGATTATGCAAATGAAATTTGAGATGAAGAAAAGTATTATTAATCTTAACATGAAAAGTACTTTGGACTCGAACTGGTAAAAAAGACTCAATATATTCAGGGACAAATCTTTTTTTTAGTTCATTAAAAATACTTCACTAAAAATCTGATTTTTTGAATGTGGAAAACTTATAATGTTTACTGAAAGTCTGCCAAATTTTGTGAAGATACACATACTATATTAAAAGTTAGTAGTATCAAAACTATAATGACTTTAAATGAGTACAACGTGGTCACATGGTCAATCAATTCGACCAAGCCTGTGTCGAGAGAGTTAAGGTGGGTACAGATAGTTGACGTACAAAAAAAAGCAGGATAGTTGCACCGGTGGGTATTCCTTCTCCCACGTGTAACCAGGTTTTCTTAGTGAAGGTGGGTACAAAAGTAAATATTGATGTACAACAAGTAGTTGGATATTCCTTCTTCCAAAAAACATTTTTTTTTTATTGAAAATATGGTGAATGAAGACAAAGATCACGGAACTGTCAAATTGACTCAAAATTTAAGGTCTTTTTTAGTAGTGATTAGTACCACATTGAAAAAAACATTTCAAACCCTGCTATTTATAGTAATAATGTATCACTACTCAACCTATATTTAACATCATACAGAAGACAACGTCTAGAATCTTTATGGAACTATTTGTAAAGAAGACTATATCAAAAATGGATACCAATTTTCTATCCTTAAGATAAGATAGTTTTGAAGATAACCTTCAAAATCTTGCAAACCATTGACAACAAACAATGCTTACCTCTCACAAAGAGTTCAGAGAGCTTATGAACTTAGTAAATACAAGGGTCAAAGTTCAATAACACTTGATGCTGGACTAAAATTTTCTCTCTTTTTAACCTGCTACTTCAGACTTCCTTATATTTACAATATTTGCATATCCAGAAACCATAAGTCTGTCTTTAATATTCAAACTTGCTTAATGAGTAACATACTATTGTCAAATACCTTGATATTTCACAATGTTTGATATCACAGCCTCGTTTTGGCATCATTCCCATGCCACGCTGAGGAACTGTTGACTGGTAGGTGTTGATGTAATGTACAAATGGTGGTTCATCTGTTATTTCAAAGTATCGTATGTTGCTGTCTCCCTATGGAAAATATTTCTATAAAATCTTATGCATGCATGGTAATTTTAAAATCAAACACTTTATATTAATTCAATAGCTACAATAATGTTATTATAATGTGCTCAAATATATTTTGTTCCACTCTCAACACACATTTGGATACTATATAGACTGTACATTGTTCCACTATCAACAAACATTTGGATACTATATATATTGTACATTGTTCCACTCTCAAGACACATTTGGATACTATATAGACTGTACATTGTTCCACTCTCAACACACATTTGGATACTATATAGACTGTACATTGTTCCACTCTCAAGACACATTTGGATACTATATAGACTGTACATTGTTCCACTATCAACACACATTTGGATACTATATAGATTGTTGAGAGTGGAACAATGTAGACACATTTGGATACTATATAGACTGTACATTGTTCCACTCTCAACACACATTTGGATACTATATAGACTGTACATTGTTCCACTCTCAACACACATTTTG